AGAGGGAGAAACTGGGTCCTGGACTTGTATGGAGTTTCCTGCATGCTGCCTCCTTCCTTCAGGTCACGCCAGGAACTGCAGCAGCTGGGAACCCTCCAACTCCTTCCCCCTCCCCTTCTCCCTGGCAGTATTTTTTATTTGTGAGTTGGGATGCTGGGGTTTGCTGGGTCCAGCAGCCCCTAGTGGTGGCCTGCAGCTCTGCAGCCCATTTCTGCAAGGGAAAAAGGAAATTCTGCTCAAATTCTGCATTGCGCAGTGGTGCAGAATCCCCCCAGGAGTAGCATATTCTCAGTGCCCATCAAAACTCTACACCTGCACTGGCATTCACAAATTGCCATGAAGCTTATATGTTGATACACATCACAGTGCACCACAAGGCTCAGCCAGTGGCAAACAAAAGGTGATGATGGAATCCTTAGGACGAAGATAAATATTTACCAAGGTTTTGGGAGTTTGTCTGGAGTCAGCAAAGTGGTCAAGTACAGTCTGGGCTTACTATCTCACATTTGCAAAGTTTATCCTTTTCCTAGCGAGGACAAGGCCTAAATATCTCCCCCCACCCCCGCTATTGTTGTGGACTTTCCCCACTCTCCTCCACATGCTCACGAAGGATGCAGTCCTATGATTCCTAGCCGGATGGGGTATCACTCAAAGTAGGGTGAGTAAATGTTGTGTGGGAGACATTACCCGTTTTCAGAGGTTTAAGTTTGTCTTAATATAGCTCTTTATTTCTGGAGTTCAAAAATTTAGGTTTAGCTACTCTCCAGATTCTGAAAGGATATGAGGCAGTGCTAGGCAACCATAACTGTGCGTCAACTAGGTATTTTTTTGTCTGTAAATTTCCCCCTCCTTTTTGAAAGGCACCAGTAGGTTGGCAGAAGGGGGCTTCCTGGGCACACTTTCACCACTTCGGCTACCATCTATACTGTGATACAAGACTCAAGTTCATGGGGCTCAGGCCGTGGGGCTATAAAAATGCAGTGTAGCCACTCTGAGACCCCCCCTCCTCCCTCATGGGGTCTCAGTGCACAGACTCCAGCCCAAGTGTCTACACTGTACTTTTATAGCCCTACAGCCCAAGTCCTGTGAGCCCGAGTCAGCTGACGCAGACCAGCTGCTGGTCTTTTACTATAGAGTAGACATAACCTAAGTGGTGACGAAGTGTGCCTAGGAATCCCTCTCATGCCACTCTACAGGTATGCTTCAATCATGTCCCCCTCACTGTCACCACATTAGTTACCAGCTCTGCACTTGTTCTGACCCTGCCACATCCCCAGTGTACGGGGAGATCGCAGCAGACCAGTAAAATGCTTGAACCACTATTGCTAAAAGTAGCCAAGCTAGCAGGTCGTAAGTGGGCCTATGCAGCCTTAGCATGACCAAGTTGCGGGAGGAAGGGGGGAGTGTCACAGAAAGGGCAGCTTGACTCCATGTCCTTTCTGACGAGATCTGCTGAGATTTTAGGAAAACAGGAAGCTTGTCTGTATGTGCCCTCGGGGATGTGTCTTTCAGGGCCTCAAGGCGTGCAAATTCTGAAAACACACATCTGGCTAATTGATGATCAGAAGGAAACCTCTTGCTTAACCTCTGAAATTGCTTGCTTAACAAGTTTTCTTTGAGTGATGTGTTATTGTAATACTAATGAATAAATAAGGGAAGAAAGTTTGGGGTAGTTGGACTCTTCAGGGACTCTCCCTCTGGACACATCTTGCAGTCCCACCGGCAGATGGAAGATTGGCCGTCAGAAGACTGATGCTGTGCCACTTGAGAGCCACACCCAACTTCGGTAATTACTGAGGGTTGGGGGTGTTTTACTAACCTGTTGCGGATGTGTGCAAGTGCTTGAGACTAAGTAAAGTATAGCTTTACGTGAGAGCACTCTTGTGTTATCCTGTTTGTGCCAGCCATCTATCGGTTGAAGAGTGTGTCTCCTTTGATTTATTTCCTGACACCACCTTGCACAGAGTAAAGATATCAAGAGCTTTGGGTTGAAAGAACCCTGGGTAACACCAGTAGGGCTGGAGGGGCCATGGAAGGAGACAAAGTGCTGGAGGAAGGGCTGCAAGGAACACTTCTTCCAGCAGGGGGCAGCAACGGGGAGAGGAGGAGAGTCCCAAGGTCCCGAGCATAGTGGAAAGGAGCTCTGCACACCTGTCTGCAGCTCTGGAGGCTCACAGAGGTGTGAAGTGGCCCATTCATCTTAATAGGACGTCTAAAATGAATGAGAACACCTCCTGGAGAGGAACAGAGCATTCAACAATAGGTCTGAGATGTGTGAACTTCCCCATTCAACTTTTTGGGAGTTCTTTCCTGCCAATCTCAGCTATATGTGCCTCAGGCATGCACAGAGCATGCCTATTCCCAACTCCCAGTATAGATATGGTCTGCCAGGCCCAGGAGTACCCAGGGGTGAAAGTAGAAACAGGGACTCACCGTTACGGGGCTGGGTTGGGGCTGGCTCTGGCCCCCGGAAGGGGCGGGGCCTCAGGCAGAAGGAGCGGGGACGGGGGGGATCAGAGCCAGCCCCGGCCCATCCTGTACCGGTAAGTGCCCTCCCCATCCCCTACCGAGGTAGCAGCGGCAGCTGGGGGCTCTGGCAGCAGTTTAAAGGGCCCAGGGCTCGGCCGCTGCTACCACCCCGGGCCCTTTAAACTGCTGCCAGAGTACCCAGCTGCCGCTGCTACCTCAGGGCTCTGGCAGCGGGGTTCTGGGGGCTATTTAAAGGGCCCAGGGCAATAGAGGCAGCGGGAGCCCTGGCCCTTTAAATAACGCCCGGAGCCCTGCCGCTACTCCAGGGCTCCAGCAGAGGGGCTCTGGCAGCAATTTAAAGGGCCTGGGGCTCCAGCCACTGCTGGGAGCCCCAGGCCCTTTAAATTGTCGCCTGGGGAAGCCGGGCCGCCCCGGTATGGCGCACCGACTCTTGCCGGTACCCCGTACCAGAGCGTAACGGCTTACTTTCACCTCTGGGAGTACCTTAAAGGAGCTCAATGAGCCCCTCCCAGCTCAGAATTGATCCATCCTGGCTGCAACTCTTGTGCCAGCCTCTCCGATACCATTTTATATTTGACATCTAGTCTCTCGCATCAATTGAGCCTCATAACATCATACTGGGCCTCATATCCTGGACACAGTTTTGCTTGCCTAACTGTCCTAGAGTGGGATTTGGGCAGATGGCATTGAGGGAGACTTGTGGGGTGCTGACCATCTTCAAAATTGCACATACCACTCACACTTCCAAAAAGAGGCCCCGCTGAGTCCTGGACACCAAGCAAATGGCAAGCTGGTAACACTAAGTGTGCACAGTACACAAAAGTCTCCCTAGGAGGGCAAACAAACTGATGGTCCATGGTCAAGGTGCAGTGCTTGTTTCCTCAAGACACCATGTAACTATCATTGCTCAGTGATTGTCCCTCACAAAGGAGTTCCTGAGGAAGCTTGAGCAGATGCAAACTCTCTATAACCAGAACTAATACTGGTTTTGTATACAGCTTTTGGATGGGCTGTATATGATGAAACCCCTTGCCCAAATGAAACCAGACTTGCACCACTAAAGCTATCCTGGCCTTGATGAGGTACAGAATTTTTCAAAATAGTCGGAATATGCATGTGAATTTTGAAGCAATTTGAATTATCAGCTCTTAAACAGCTCTTAAACAGAAACCTCAGGGCCAAACTTCCATAAGGACCCCCTTTGCAGCTCCTAACCACAAGCAGAATGCAGGCAGAGTAATCTCAGAAGTCTGCTAAGGGTAGGACTTGAACTCTTAGTACCAGGGTGTTGTTTGGGTTCAACAGTTCCAGCATGTTGTGCGAGCTATCAAGTGACCTGATGTCAGCTATACATGCACAAATTACTGTCTGTACCCTCACCCAAGTGAAAGACAATTTGTAGAGCAAATGATAACCCCTACTATCTTTAAAAATATTGCTTCCCCAAAGTGATAGTGGATGCTGGACATTAGCTGAGTTGTAACTGATCAATGATATTAGTTTGGGGTCAATAACATATTTTAGCCATGTGTATGCAAAAGAGAGAAAAAGAAAAAAAATCAACAATTTTACTGACAAGGTCTTCGGGGGTGGGGGGAAGAGGACACTGTATTCCAAAAACCCCTTGATCAAATAACTCCAGATTTGCAGCACTAGCCCTACGCAGAGCTTGATACAGCACACCAATTTACAATACAATAGGAACATGAATGATTTTTTCTACATGCTCTAAAATCCACGTTTTAAACAGTAACTCATATTTAAGTTTGTGATGAGCTTAATGCTCCTTACAAAATATCACAATAATGAATGCATTGGAATTAGGCTTTATCTACACTGGACAAGTTGCATCACTTCAAATTTACCAATATAATTAAAGCAGTACAACTCTCCCTACTGAGGATGCAGTGATAGTGGTATAAGGTCATCTTTAAACCACTATCACTGCATCCACACTTTGGCTTTTACTTTTACATCACACTTAGTCTATTTCAGTAAAAGTCACACTCCTAACCAAAATAATTATACTTGTAAAACTTTTAAGTGTAGACCAGTTCTCAGACAGTTAGGCCCCAACTCAGCAAATCACTAAATAATACGCTTAAATCCATCCCTATTTGGCAATGCACTTAAGCTTGTATCAGGGCCCAAGCCATCGCTATGTACCCACCAGCCAGTTAATGGCCAATAAGAACAATACATATGAAAGTATTCCATATGGTTCAGAACAGCTCTCTCTTAACATTTGACAATAGCTATTTATTGGTTGTGATTCCCCTCCCTTTTTAAAATGGAAAGTCTAATCATTTAAAAAAAAAGACTAAATCGATATACTCACGCCTCCCAGCATGATCTGCAAAACTCATGTCCACAAGGCATATCCACTGGGTCTTCAAATACAGAAATATTACACATACAAATGTCACACTGTAGATAAAGAAAAAAATACAGATGAAAGAAAGAAAAACAAACTCCTGTGTGCCATGTGCAGAACTCATGAGAATTACATAATAAAAATATAAAACCAAACTACTGTAAGAAAACAGGTCATGTACAAAGTAGGGAAAAATCTTTTATGAATGTATCGATGAGAAAGTGTTGCTTTATGTTCAAAAAACTGAAAATGGAAAGGGGCATGTCTTCATTTCCACACACCTCCCCACAAACATTTAGTAAATATTTTAGGAACCTGTGCAACCATTTTTTTTATTGCCTTCTGGGATCTCCGCCACCTCCAGCCTTTAAGATGTTGAGCACTCTTAGCTCCCAATAAAGATGACAGCGCACCAGTAAACTCCATGAGAGTTTTGCCACTGACTTCAATAGCAGTAGCAGGGCTTGGTAGATAAGGTCAGTCATATGTCAGAGGAGGTATTCTGCCTTGCAAAGGATCAGGTCCAAGGCAGTGTGGAGCAATTTAAATAATTGATTTAAAGTTATGATTTTAATCACTGGATCTAAAAAAAATAAAAAAAAAATCAGGTTGAGGTTTGTAAAACTGATTTGAAAATTTGTACTTTGCATCTTTAGATCAAAATGTATAATGAGCTAAATTATAAAGGCTCCTTCCTTCCTTCCATCTTATTAGTGGTAGGATATCTTATTTGAATTTTATAAAAAGTGCTATCAGAAAAAAAACAAAATATTGAAAATTAAGATCCTGATCTTGCAAGTACATAAAGAGATATATGTGTGACTGAATGCACCCTGTAGGTTTGTGTGGCCCTTCCTTGCTGTCAATCTCAGAGGGAGGCCACATCTCTTTTCTGTCAGGCCCCTGTAAGGACAGTCTAAGATAATGGGGAAGTTAGCAGTCTCAGTGCTTGATCCCTCCAGCACTGTGGGAGGGGGTGCAGGCTCCGGGAGGAGGCTCCAGGCTGGGGCAGGGGGTTGGGGTGCAGGAGAGGGTTCGGGATGTGAGCTCTGGGAGACAGTTTAGGTGTGGAAGGTGGCTTAGGGCTGGGGCGCAGGTGCAGGGTCTGGGAGGAAGTTAGGGTACGGGAGGGGGTTCTGACTGGGGGGAGGCGGTTCAGGGAGCAGGCTCTGGCTGGGTGGTGCTTACCTCAGGCAGCTCCCAGTCGGCGGCACAGCGGGGCTAAGGCAGGCTCTCTGCCTGCCCTGGCTCCGCGCTGCTCCCGGAAGCAGCCACTGTGTCTGGCCCCTACGCGTATCAATTTTGTGTTTGTCTCACATAAGGATGTTAATGAGGCCCAGGATTTGTCTTTTTGTGCATAGATGAGCATTTTAAGTGAGAAACATCTTAATAGAAAAAAATCTCTACATAAAATCTGAAATTCTAACAACAATCGTACTTGTTTCTTTAGTTTCCTAAAAGATCCATTTTAACAATTGAAGACTGTAAAACAGGAACTAGCTATATATATATATATATACACATATATATACACATACATACACACACACACACACACACACACACATATACACAATTTAAATCCAGATATAAAACTAATACCATAGATATTAAACTACATCCACCATCATATTTCATAGTGGGACTGATCCTGCATTCCCATCACAAGCCCCCAATACTAAGAAAGGGAAATATACAATATAACATACATTTGTCACTTCATTTCACATGAAGTTATATTCCAGGAAAAGTATTGCAGCAGATATAAAAAAGGATAAACTATAATGCCATATACCTTTTTTGTACTATTTTAAAATTAGAGAAGGGTTGTCTGTATACTGAATGCAAAGTTTTACTTTGATATGATGCCCAGGGATAACCCAGTTACAAAACTATGTATCTCCTAAAAAACAGGACACTGAGCACAAATTTTATAAAGTTACAGCTGTGGATTAAGAAAAAGAGAGTTCTGTCTTCCAAAAGAGCATTATTGATTTTAATGAAAGATTCTTTTATATCTGAAATTTGTGATAGCCTTGTAAACTGCTTAAAGCAACCCTCACACAACAAAATTATTTATAATCTTACAGTACAGTTGTAGGCTGACATTTAAAAGGCAAACAAAGAAAACTTTGTTTCCTAATGAAAAATATAAAAAGGGAAGATTCAAAGCATTTAAGTATGTTCAAGGAAATGGATACCATGGAATTGAACATCTAGATAAAAAGTCTCCAAAGAAATGCTGAGCTACACACACTTGGTATGATCCTATCTTGTTAAATCAGAAGTCCTACATTATAATGGTGGCAGTCAAGCTGAAAACAGTGTCCCTTGTTCCAGCCACATGCTCAACTTGTGTCATTATAAAGCCAATTGTTAAAATGAATCAGCACAAGGGGCTGGACCAGGCGACCTTCCAAGTCTACATTTCTATGATTCTATGCACACTTCAGTGTTTGCTTACATTTAAGAAAAGAAAGAAAGAAATAAAGAAAAGATCTCATGTTCTTTCCAAGGTTATTTTGCAAAGGTAAATGACAAAATAGTTCTCTCGCACTATGTTGGGGTGTGTGAAGAAGGTGGGGGGAGAGAAACAGGAGGGGGGAATCAGTTCAATTTCCCAATTAATTTCAGTCCTATTTGTAAGGAACTAAAAACATACTTTAAAAACCAACTGCACAATGATTATGGAAGATTTTCTCACAAGTTGCAAAGCATTATATACCAGAACAACTTTTTAATAATGTTTAATACATTACTTTGTGCCTCTAACTATTCACAAAGTAAAAGGCAAGGAATCTTTCTTAAGAATAAATCATACCAGAATTGTCTCAATATCTCCCGGTGAAAGGCTGATTTCATCAGGGGAGGTCACAGAAGAGCGAGTGGTGCGGGGAGTTCGTGGTGAAGGGAGTGTGTCCCAGGCATTATACCCACTTGGAGGTGGAGTTGGCATTTGAACACCTGAACGTTGGCAGCAGTTCTCTGGATTAGACATCCATGCTTCAAGTAATTTCTCCCTGTCCCAGTCTTCAAGAAATATATAAAGAAAATTATTTAGCTATTATAGGATATGGATTTGTTTGCATTTTATGATTGCCTCGTTAAAAAGATCTATATTTTACTAATAAAAATTAGAGGTGAACATATCTTTTGAAATACTGGAGACTGCAGCCCGCAATGGACACTACATTTTACAGTATATATTTTGGGATAACATACAATGTACATTATTTACAGCTAACACTACTGCTAGTATCTCCCTTCTATTAATGTCAACCATAAACTAAATGGAAAACTTATTCTCCCTTTCATATGATAAAAGTTGACCATTCAGTTTAGATCCATTCTATTTTTTAATTTTTTTTAAGAACCACATTTTTATTGATTCAAGTGAAGAGTTAAAAGCAAAAGAAGGAAACTTTCAAAACAATAGGTTCACAATAGTTATTACGACAATATATGAAACAAGCAATTATTACAAGTGATAATTTCTTCATGTTATGTCTGATTCTGCATTCGTTGCACACCCAAAACTCTCACCGACTTCACCAAGAATTTTTGGGAGCATAAACAATGTGGAACAGCCATTCAGACCCTATTCCTGAAAGCTCTCATGCATAGTAAGTAGTCCCATCATTTTTGGTGAGACTACTCATGGGATTAGAGCTACTGCTATGGAGAAGTATAATAAGTTACTTAAGGACACTTACAAAGTCAGTTATTACAGCTATCGAATGTTAACATCTTGGGGTAGATTGACACACTGGAGAAATTCTGGCCCTGTTGAAGTCAATGGGAAAAAACTCTTTTTGACTTCAGGGTATGTCTACACTACCCATGGCATGGCTGTGGCTGGCCTGGGTCAGCTGGCTTGGGCTGTGGGGCTAAAAATAGCTGTGTAGACGTTTGGGCTTGGGCTGGAGCCTGGGATCTAGGACCCTGTCCTCTCATGGGGTCCTCATAAGGTTGGGTTCCAGCCTGAGCCTGAACAGTTACACAGGAATTTTACAATCCCGCAACCCAAGCCCCGCAAGCCCAAGTCAATTGACCCAGACCAGCTGTGGGTGTTTAACTGCAGTGTAAATATACCCAGGGGGACCAGGATTTCATCCATTGCTACTAATTCTCTGTAAGAGGCTGTGGGTAGACGTAATGCCCCAACAGCAATTCAGGAAGGAATTGCGAGTTAGTGTGCCAATTCCCCATCAACTTCTTTCCTTGCTCCGAACAGGAAATAATCTGCTACTGGCCCATAACAGTATCAGATTACTATCTTCCCACCCTGTGCTGGCTCAGCTCTGCTTGCCAGTACATTTATGTGTGGGGAGAGAGAGAAATGTGGAGCCTGCTTTGTCTCCTATCCAAAGACTGGCAACACAGGCCACCCCACATAGGAAAGTAGTATGAAGAGGTCTTGTACTCTCTTCCTGCCCTCCACTGGGTCAGAGGACAAGTGACAATCTTGCTTTTATAATCATAATTCCCCTACGTGTCTCTTCTAACAAGGGGCAGGATATCAGCATATGAAAGTTTCTACCATCTACAAAACTGGAAGTTCTGTGTGCAGCAGTTGTCACCATTTTCACTAACTTCTGACTGTGCATAAAACTGTGCATTTTCTAATGCTGTGAATTGGGAAAATTGTCGCTCAACAGTCTGAGTTTCCTATGGTAAAGCTGTTAAAAGTTTCACATGTTATCTCTTTTGAGACTGTTGTTCAAATAATTTGGTTTTAAGAACTCACAATATGAAGGCTTTTGTCTAAGTATTACATTGAGACAATTTTACTTCCACATATGAAAATTATTCAGCTTGACCTGAAATAGCTGAAGCTTTTGCCATCTACACAACAGCCCATTTGCATGAGATACATTTCTTAAATACAAAATTAAAAATTATCTGAATTTAAAAAGAAATCATTTATCCTTGCTAGGATTTTTTGTAATTCTACAATCAAATATTACAGTGACCCTTCTATATTTTCATGTGTACAAATATTAAGTTCACAGTTAAAGTTTTCTATGGTACAAATGAACTACAGTAAAACAAATGTATACAGAGAGACAAGGTAGGTGAACTAATAGCTTTTATTGGACCAATTTCTGTTGCTGAGACAAGTTTTTTTAGATCTGCCCCAAGGAAGAGCTCTGTGTAACCTCAAAAGCCTGTCTCTCTCAGCAACAGAAGTGGTCCAATAAAAATATTACCTCACCTACCTTGTCTCGCTAATATCCTGGAAGTAACACATCTGCTACAACAACATTGTACGCATAAATGAATATATAAGCAGTTATTAAGATCACAAAGATTTTTTTTAATAGTTTAAAACTGCTTTATTTCAAATCTAAAAACAAACAAAACATTCAACAATGTTGGTTTGTCAAATTTCCGTGCCACTTTGAATCTAAAAATACCAATATAGTGTAAAGAGCATCCACATACATGGATAGATTCAGATTGAAAGACAAATTTGAACTGACATACTTTACCATATCACGGTGATTTTAAGCCTCAAAAAACCCTAAAATTTTCAAACAGTGTCAATCATACAAAAGTTCATTTTATTTGTCAACCATAAATATCTGATGTTTAGAAAAACCCTAAATTTTCAGTTTTTATGAAGCAGACGTATAATAAATAAAACTCTCTAGGTTATTGTAAATAAAAATTGCATATGTACTACAAGTAAGGAACAAAATATAAGTTTCAGAGTGGCACCTTAGAGACTAACAAATTTATTAGAGCATAAGCTTTTGTGGGCTAAAACCCACTTCATCAGATGCATGCAGTGAAAAATACAGTAAGAAGATATATATATATATATATATATATATATATATATA